AAACCTACCTGAAACCCGTCAAACAGTGTCTGAGCATCGTGTCCTCTATGATACCGTGCGAGCCACGGGCGCATCCTTAGCACGTCCACCGGCGTCCTCACCCCTAGGTACTTCATCTCGAGATGGACCCTTACCGGACACCGGCTTTCCCTTTCTGAAGCAGCGCACAGCTGGGTGCGCTCCCCCGCAGTGTGCGCATTCATGGCGAAACCTACAGGAGCTGAACCAGCGACAGTGGCTTTGGTTAAAAAGCCAACACACCCCTTTCCTTTGCCCTGCAGAAGAGCCGGAGGTTCCTCCGGCAGGCCCGGGAAAGGTAGACAGTCTACTGGGAGTCATGATTAAGAGCCATAAACTACCATCTTGAACCCCGAAATCCATACCTGGAACCACCGCCATTTTCTGACGAAATTGTTGGTCGTACTTATACCAGCATTGTCCCCCGTAGATTTTATAAGCACCCCATATGAGATCGAGAGAACCAAAAAGGGAAGGGGCCTTGTCCGGGAAACGGCGCACCAGGATACTGGAAAACACATTAAAACCTTGCAACCAGTTGCCAAAGGTCCTGGGGATATGCTTACCCTTATCCGCCTCTGGAACTTCACCCCGCCGTGGTCTGTCCACGGAATCCTTGTCGGGAGAGACCAAAGACAGCAGATCGACGTACTCACCTCTCCAAATTTTTTCTTGTGTATCCAGCGGAACATGTAACCCCAAAGGAGCCAGGCCGCATCCCACGGAACCTCGAAAGGTCCCTGTAGCCGACTGACCCAAGGAAACCTGAGCCCCTAGATCCTGCGCCCCAGAATGCAAAGGCCCAACCTGATTCCTAACCCCATGGAGCCCTGAGACCCTACTGTCCAGCCCTATGGGGTCCCTACTAACTGCCTGTGGAAACCTATCAACTAAGGACCTAAGCAAACGCAACAACTCTCTTGGATGCTCGAGGGCACCAGCACTAGCGCTACTGGACTCACCGAACCGTTGGGAAGGCAAAGGTACCGGGTGCTCCTCCTCCTCCGATGTAGACTCAGACCTTGACCTCCTCTGGCCATCAGCAGCAGATCTTGAGGTGCCCTCTAGGTGAAGGCTTCCTAATCCGGATGCCTGAGGATGATGGGAGTGACCTGCGGTGCCCTCCTGGTGAAGTCCTCAAATTTCGGCTGCCTGGGGGTGATGAGTATGGAGTCCGGGTGTTCGACCGTCAATTGCCCGACCTGCCGACCTCCGCCTGCATCCAGCACCCTGGGAAGGATGAGCCCTGTCCAGGGCGCCGACGTTGAATGTCACTTCCGGGTTTCCCCGGGCGCCGCACGTCACTTCCGGGTCCGTGTGGTGATGTCCAGCGTCCAGACGCACGTCGCGTTCCAGGGCGCCGACGTTTGACGTCACTTCCGGGTGCCTTCCAGCCCTGCGCACCGGAAGAGATGGCGGGCTCCTTGATCTCCCCGCCAAGCCGCCATCTTGACCCTCCAGGATGGCGCCAGGTACTGAACTCCGGCTCACTCCCTCACGAACCGCAGGACGTCCTCCACGATGTCGATCATGACGCCTGGGCACAGGACTTGGGGAGAAGCGCGTAGGAGGCCTGGAACGTCGGGCCCTCCTACCGCCATCGGGCACCTCCACTGCCGCCACCGACCTCGTTTCCGCCGCCGGCTGGGCCTGTAGACCGGCGAGAACCTCCTCTAAGGATCCAGCACCAGGGGACTCCAGGTACGCCTGTAACAAGGCTACCACAGCTTCTCTGGACACCGCTGCCATTCTACTGATCCCAGGTAAGTAGTCCTTGCAGATGTGAAACAGGAAAATCGTTAATTAAGCAAATTATTTGGTTGACTGTCAAATATAATATTATTGATTGTCTTTTATTACAGTCCCTGGGGGAAGCTAGCCACACTACACCTCTGCCCGGGAACTGGTGAGTACCCTCCCCTTTACTCACCTCTTAACGTACCCCAAGTGCCACAATGTATCCCCTTATAGACCAGCCCCTTATCCCTGCCAGCAGTCATGTCCTCCCTTCCTTATATTTCCATGGAGGTACTTCACAATGAAATCCTTATGAATGATACACCTGTACAACTCACGTTAAAGGGACACTTTAATCACCAAAACAACTTTAGCTTTATGCTCAGTTTGCTGCCATTTAGGGGTTAAATAACTTTTGTTTCTGTTTATGCACGGGCCTGGACTGGCCATTGGGCACACCGGGCAAATGCTCAGTGGGCCGTGGCCGGCAGGGCAGGTTACAGGATCTCCCAGGCCGGTCCATGCAGGGCCAACACTATACGAGCGCCGGACCCACTGTGTTCCATGACGGGCCGGTGGGGAGATCTATGTATTGCATGTGGCACAGGCTAGTTTTCACTCACCACTAGGGCCACCAGGGCTTGCAGCACGGTCCCCCTCCCAGGCATAAGGTAAGAAGGAAAGGGGGATACCATGCCTGATATTTAAAAAATAAAATAAAATACATACATATTGACATTAACCTGCCTCCCCTCAACACACAATCCCTCCAAACACAGCACACACACACACACACATCACCCTCTCACAGCACCCTAACACACACACAGCACCCTCACACACACACAGCACACACACACAATACTTCCAAACCTATATGTATAAATACACTACAGAACCCCTCACACACATACTGCACCCCTAAACGCATTACATTCCAGACACACACTAGATCCCTTACCCAACTCTGGGTCATCTACACATACACACTAACTAGATCTCCTATACACACACACACACACACACACACACTACATTTCTGACACACCCTGTCTGGTCCCGCCCCCTTTTCAGTGGGCCGCTGTGATAAAAAAGTTTTTTCCTAGTCAGGCCTTGTTTATGCAGCTCTAGCTGCAGCTACCCTGGCTGTGACTGACACAGCGTGCATGAAAACAAAATAATTTAATTTTCTATTTAGATTTTGAAAAAGTTTTTATCTCCTGCTCTGTACATTAAACTTTATTCACAGACAAGAGGCTCCTGCACGGTCAAGTTATTAACAGAGCAGGAGATAAGAAATTCTAAATTTTATTAAGACACGGATTATGCTGCACTCTTTCTTTATTTCCCTCGGCAGCAAAGAAAAGTTTAACCCCTTAACCCCTTAAGGACACAGCTTCAGAAGCTTGACTTACGCTTAATGACACAAGCAATTTTTGCATTTTCTTGCTGTTTGCGTTCAACTGCAATTTGCATCTCTCTCATTTATTGCACCGACACATATTATATACTGTTTTTTAAAGGACAGAAATGCTTACTTATTATAAAAAAAATACAGAAAAATGCAAAAAAAATGAAAAATATTGTTTTTTTTTACAGTTTTTGCAATAATAATGTGTGCATAATTAGTGCAGGTTAAAGAAAGTAATTAAAAATAAATTTATTTATTTGTTCTGATTTACAGAATATATAATGTGTCTGGGATTTTAAGTTTTTTTTGGTAGTTACAGGTCACAAAGCACAAGGAGTAAAATAAACTTTTAATGTGGAGCGATTTTAGAATTTGGTATGTTTGTCTTGTAAGCTTAATAGCCATAAAAGAAAACAAAATTGCCACACAAAAGTATATATTTATATAAAGTAGACATCACGGGCTATTTACCTAAGGTTGTTTTGACACTTTCTACGTAGCCATTTCACCGCCAACCTCTGCTAAATATTGGAGTAAAATTGTGTTCTTTTTGGTTTTTGGCACACAAACTTATAACAGAGAAATTCTCGTGTATATTTTGTAAAGTTGGTGTGTGCTATTCCTGTACAAAGTTTTATTTTGTGTTCAGTTACATCTGCTGAGTAAAATGACACCCCCATTGTATGTCTTTTGCACTATTTCGTGAAGTTACAGTGCCATACAGGATACCTGTCCTTTTCAGTATTCACAGTAGAATTTTGAGAGATGAATTTAATGAGCCTTAGCTTCCATTTGGGGTATTATAACAGTTTGACTGTTCAAAAAACCCCACAAAGGCCTACCATTTGTAAAAGTAGACACTCCAGGGTATCTTATAAGGTGCATATTGTGCCTTAACATGCCCCCATTTTTTCACCAATATATGCCAAAGTATGTGGTAAAAAAAAATTTTGTGCATTTTTTACATACGGATTGCATTTTTGCTGGGCGTTTTGTATATTTCATATGTGCCACTAAGTTCAAACCCCCCAAATTATGCTCAGCTAAGTCTTCTGAGTAAAATGACACCCCATATGAATGTCTTTGGCACTATTTCGTGAAGCTACAGTGCCATATAGGAGACCTGTCCTTTACAGTATTCACAGTAGAATTTTGAGAGATGGATTTAATGAGCCTTAGCTTCCATTTGGGGTATTATAACAGTTTGACTGTTCAAAAAACCCCCACAAAGGCCTACCATTTGTAAAAGTAGACACTCCAGGGTATCTCATAAGGTGCATATTGTGCCTTAACATACCCCCATTTTTTCACCAATATATGCCAAAGTATGTGGTAAAAAATTATTTTGTGCATTTTTTACATACGGATTGCATTTTTGCTGGGCGTTTTGTATATTTCATATGTGCCACTAAGTTCAAACCTCCCAAATTATGCTCAGCTAAGTCTTTTGAGTAAAAATACACCCCAATGAATGTCTTTGTCACTATTTTGTGAAGCTACAGTGCCATATAGGAGACCAAGCCATATCTGTTTTTACCAAACTTTGAATTTTGACGCTGTGCCTATGTGCAATTTCCAAGCATCTTCGCAGGTTTTAAATTCAAACTACCCCACAAAGGCCTACCATTTCTTAAAGTAGACACCCCAGGGTGTTTCAAAAGGTATAGTTTGAACCTTAGCGTGGGATCATTTTTCCGCTAGCTTGTACCAGATGTAGTGGTAATAAGCGTTTTTTCTGCCTTTTTGACATACAAAGTGAGTTTGCACAGTATATTTTGCAAACCTTATGTGTGCTACGACTGTATAATACTTCATATGTTGCTCAGCTATGTCAGGCTGAGTACAGCAATACCCCCGTATGTACCTTTGCCAGGTATGTGTGGACATCGGAGGGGCACATTTGGGACACAGCCATTCCAGTTTTTTTCAAACTTTGAATTTTTATGCTGTGCCTATGTCCCATTTTAGAGTATTTTCCCAGGCTATATAATCCAAATTCCCCATAAAGCCATACCATTTCTTAAAGAAGACATCCCAGGGTATTTCAAAAGGTATATTTTGAACCTTAGCGTGGGATCATTTTTCCGCTAGCTTGTACCAAGTGTAGTGGTAATAAGTGTTTTTTCTGCCTTTTTGACACACAAAGTGAGTTTGCACAGTATATTTTGCAAACCTTATGTGTGCTACGACTGTATAATACTTCATATGTTGCTCAGCTATGTCGGCTGAGTACAGCAATACCCCCGTATGTACCTTTGCCAGGTATGTGTGGACATCGGAGGGGCACATTTGGGACACAGCCATTCCAGTTTTTTCAAACTTTGAATTTTTATGCTGTGCCTATGTCCCATTTTAGAGTATTTTACCAGGCTATATAATCCAAATTCCCCATAAAGCCATACCATTTCTTAAAGAAGACATCCCAGGGTATTTCAAAAGGCATATTTTGAACCTTAGTGTGGGATCATTTTTCCGCTAGCTTGTACCAAGTGTAGTGGTAATAAGCATTTTTTCTGCCTTTTTGACATACAAAGTGAGTTTGCGCAGCATATTTTGCAAACCTTATGTGTACTATGACTGTATAATACTTCATATGTTGCTCAGCTATGTCGGCTGAGTACAGCAATACCCCCGTATGTACCTTTGCCAGGTATATGTGGATGTTGAAGGGATGCATTTGAGACGCAGCCATTCAGTTTTTTTCTAACTTTGAAGTTTTACGCTGTGTCCATGTTCCAATTTGGAGTAGTTTAGACGGTTGGTTATTGAAACTTCCCCACAAACACATACTATTTATTAAAGAATACACCCTGGGGTAATTCAAAAGGCATATTTTGAACCTTGGCGTGGGATAATTTTTTCTCTAGTTTGTTCCAGGTGTAGTGGTAATGAGCGTTTTTAAAATGTATTTTTTTACTTTTTATAACTTTTTTACTTTTAAAAACTAGTTTTTAAACTTTTGTTTTGCTTATAAATTTTTTTAAACTTTCCTAAACTTTCTTAAAACTTTTTTACAGATTTAACATTTTTCTAAGCTTTTTTTTTTACCGTTAACCCCTAACTAGCAGTACGCAGCACTAACAGTAAATTCCCCATTTTCCCATAACTCCCACCCACCCCAGCTAGCAAAATATATAGTTATAAAATATTTAAATTAATTAATTAAATAAATTGAACCCCTGAGGGTTAAAAAAATAAATAAAAGTTAATCCTCAGGGGTTAAAAAAAATTAGATCACAGTATAATACTGTGATCTCTATTTGATCGCTGTAGGCAGTGATCGACTGGCAGGGAAGGGGTTAATTTTTATTTGGACTAGGTAAAGTGTGTTTTTTTTGTTTTTTTTACTTAAATGTTATTAAAACATTTTTTAAGCTTAATTTTTAACTTTTTAAAGTTTCTTTTAAAACTTTTTTTAACGTTAACCCCTAGTTAGCCTAACGCCAAATCCCCCAATTCCCCACTAACTTCCACCCACCCCAGCTATCTAAATATATAATTTAAAAATAATTTAATTAATTAATTTAATTAATTTAACCCCTGAGGGTTAAAAAAAAAGAATTAACCCTCAGGGGTTAAAAAAAAAATCAGATCATAGTAAAATGTAATCCCTGCCAATTGATCACTGTAGTCAGTGATCAATTGGCAGGGAATGGGTTAATTTTTTATTAAAATGGGTAAGGGAGGGACACTTTAAATTAACTTTATTTTTTTTCCAGCAGGGGGCAGGATCATCACTGATCCGGCTCCCTGCACTTCACACAGAACCCGGAAGTGCAGGGAGCCGGTAGGTGAGTATACAGAGCACATGTGCTGGGCAGCCTGACCGGGTGCTCCCGGTATGCCTCTAATGCAGAGGCATACTGGGAGCACCATTAACCCCGCGATCGCCGCGATAGCGGCGATCTGGGGTTAATTTTACCGCGTGACGGACGAGGTCCGTCACCCATCGTTAAGGGTCTCCCCTCTGTGACGGACCTCGTCCATCACCTGTCCTGAAGGGGTTAAGGACCGGACTGTTTTTGCGATG